CCACAAAATAAAACTTTTACTAGTAACTTACTAGGACATTAAATTAGTTTAGGCTCGATTGGAGTGGTGACCTTGTGCGCAAAGCTCACTTGAGCTCAAATAATGACCCATGACCCGTTGAGTTATCACGGATTAGCGTTGTTTGAACGTCCCCATTCAAGTAAAAGTGAGCAAACTTGACAAGTCTATAAAAATCTGACCACAGCATAAATTTTATAGAATGACAGTTCTGTCAGATCGGTGAGAATAGAGGTTCCGAAGAAATCAAATCTTCTCCTAGCTAATGATGGACACTGACACATGAAGTGGAATAGGACATAAGAACTTACTTATGCTTTGAATCCTCAACAAGAATTACTAAAATAATTTAGTAAAACATTAGAAAGTGCTACTTAAATTTTTAAAAAAAGTTAAAGTGAAAGTGTTGATATTGTAAAGTATCTTACATTTTAGTTGCTACTTTTTTAAATTCTTTTAAATTCATTTATTGAATTTAAATTATAAATGATTAACTCATTTTTTCTGTGAGTTAGATATTTACTTGCATTCATACTTGCATATTAACGCATACATACTGTGCAAGAACAATCAAAGCAATAACAATAACAGCAGTAGAAGTAAAGAAAGGTAAAGAGAAGAAGGGAAGAAAAAATTGAAAGAAAAATTATGACAATAAGAACTGAATTTTATAAAGAAAACCTTTCAGAGACTATTTTCAAGGTTCGCAAAACATGGGTTATAAACTCTTGACATTATAAGAAGGACTTATTATCAGAAATGTTTTAAAGTGAAGATTGTCTGATTATCAAAATTGAAGGAATTAAAGTTTAATTTTGTTATTTCTTATACCTAAAATGTTACTAATAAACTATCAAATCTCATATGTTATAAATACACAGTAAAAATAACTAAGTTAAAAAAATCACATAAAACAAATGCACAAATTGCAATTAATTTGAAATTTTTTCATAGTAGAGACCGTAAAAATAAGGTAGCAAAGTGACGTAAGTTGAATTTCTGAGTAGGAATACTTGTACTAACCCAAACATAAACCCAGAAATAAAAATACGACATCTCCAAGTGTTGACATGCCACCACCAATTCTCACCAACCCTTACTTTGGGAAGACTTCCTCTCCTGGTCAAATGGCATCAGCTCATCAACATTTTCACTAAATATGTGACGTGTTTGGCATGTGAAGAATTAAATGTGACAATACCTTAGCGAATTGAAGAATGTGTAGAGTGCAGTAGAGAAAGCAACCAAAATATACATTGTATAAAAAGTAATGACGAAAGTAATGTAGTGACGAAACAAATATACAAAGCATAGAAAGAAGTAAAATCAAACTTAAAAGCGCAATTACAATTACACAAACATATACAAATCAATAGAATCCCATACAATGCATAAAAGCATTGTATCTTTATATATACTAAAGCGAAAGCAATCTAATAAAGAGATCGAGAGGAAAAATGTGGGGAAATATATCGTGGAACCAGCTAACCGCATGGTAACACTTACTACTTACTTAGTTGGCCATTACAGATGTGAATCATTCTTCGCCGCGTAAAGTAGCCTCCGCCAGCCAGCTTGATCGGTGGCTTGGTATTGCCAATTGGTATTTTCGAGCGCTTCCAACTCATTAATCACTTAGTTCTTTCACCGAAGAGTTGAAAGTCTCTTACTGCGATTACAACCGGCGGGTACCAAATCAAACACCTTTCTAACCAGAGCATTCTCTACCATTCGCACGACATGACCAAGCTAGCGAAGCCGCTGAATTTCTTTGTACTGCTTTACCATACAGCAGGATAGGTATGATAAGAGATTTGTAAAGCGTGATTTTTGATTGCCGAGAGAGGGATTTATTTCTAAATGACCTGCTTAGCCCGACCGAAGTAATTTCTATTGGCAAGAGTGATTCTTCGTTGAATCTCTAGGCTGCCATCATTTTTGGAGTTTAAGCTGATTTCTAAATAAACAAAATGTTTCACAACTTCGAACTTATAATTGTCAACAGTGACAAGTAAGTCCTAAGATGTTCAGGAATTTTGTTTATTGACAGAAAATTGGTGCGGGTGCAATTGCCTATCAAAATCGTCGCACCTGAGACACTAAAAATCTATAGATATGTCTCGAAACACCATTTTATTCACAAATAATCTCTGCATGTGTGACATGTCTTCTAGAGATGTGATAAGATGAACCTTTATGAAAACGGTAAAGATCTAATAACTTTTACTGCCATAAAAATAGAGATGTGAATGTGGAAGATGTATAGTTTAAGGTGGGTGCTCTCCGAAGTCACAACTTACACAACATGCTCTTTTCTGATTTTGTTATGCAAGAAATTTCCCGAATTTTTATTTTATTTTTTTCCCGAATAATTTAGACTTTATAAAAAGTCTAATGGATTTGTCTCCATTAGACTTTATTTTGTAGGATTATACAAACAGTTGTGTATATGTACTCAAGTCCTTATTGCTTTAAAAAACGCACATTTCTCAAGTAATGACAGGCTCTCCCTCAAGTATTAGAAAACTTTTTCGAAAGGATCAAAAAAAACTGTAAGGTGTTTTGTGGAGAATATTTGAATGGGGTTATATTTTACACTTAATAGAAAGCTCAACCTCATAATTAATTGAAATCTTGATAATTGTGTTTGCTTACCGTTTACTTTCGGAACAACAGAATAGTTAATCTGAAAGATAGATGGATTGAATAATGTATCTATTGAAGTTTAGATGGTTCCAAGTAAATTATCATGTATTGGGTATCAAAGTTCCTACAGTGTTTGACTCTGTAGACTCTGTAATTCTGGAAATTATTATTTCTTTATTTTCTCAAATATATTTTTTTCTTAGAGTTTTTTAATAAAACTTTTACTAACAGTTTGAAATGTATCTGAAATTAATGTTGCAGTTTTTAGCCGCCCACATTTATAACATATTCAATATAATAACACATAACGTATTTCCAATCGGAGTAGCATAATTGTGGTGTGAAGATAATAAAGACGCTACATGTCCAATGCTTCTGATTATGTGTCAATACAAGTTAATCAGTTGCTTGTCTGCCTGTTTGTATTCCATTGCGTCGGTACGCCAACACGTACATAACTGCCTTGACACTCATTGTGCATTGTCTGAGCATAAGATGAACTTGAAAGCATTTAGACAGCTTAGGAGGGAGACCTGTACAAACCTGTACAATGGTTTATTAACTGTAGTTTCACATAAAAAACTAACTGCTTAAGTATGTGCGAATTTTCTATATATGTAGGTATGCCATTGTTTGCTTTTAACTACTGTTCTGTCAATGTCATGAAGAAGTATAAATTTTTTTATTTCCTTTTTTATTGATACAACCCACTCGACAATATCTTCTCTTTAATATTCCTCTCGTTAAAATAAAATATACGTTTTATGCATATCCTTCCATCCCTTCTTTAACCTTGTGCCTATATACCCGTATAGATTTGTAATATACAATACATATGTTTTCATATGTGTATTGTAAGTAAATTTGTATCTTTAATGTAATCAGACGTCAATATTTTTTATGAGGCAAATATAATACGATGATATTTATTGACTGAATGAATAAGTGACAAACTCATAAAATGTTTCACCGTGTTTTTATATGTCCGCGATTGCGTTAAATTGCTATGGAGTACTTGAAGATATCGATTTGAAGCAATTTTTCCTTATTGTCGAAAATTTTACATTTGACGGTTACACCCAGCATAATAGTTTCGTTAACAGATTTACTACTTCAAATGTTTTTACTAATTTTACTGAGAAGGTCTGTAGTTATAAAAAGCATTCACATAGTCTTAAGTTTATTACTATTTAAGGTTTATTGAATCTAAATAATTTCATGAGAGCTTAGCGTGATTTGTTCTTCAAGTTCCTAACTCTCTTAATTTCTTAATCAATTCTTTACACATAAAATATTTGTTTCAACTCTATCTATTATCAATTACTTCGACTTTAAAAATTATTTTTTTCCCGCTCCTATAAATATACTACAAATAATATATTATATTAACACTCCTTCTCAGGGAGGTAGAAAAAATATTTTTATAATTCAAATAGTTCATTAAAGGGATATAGACTTAAAACAATTCTAACAGTCCTTGGTTTGATTCGTAGGCAAAACAACAAAAAATTACCGGAAAGCATCATATCACAAATCGTGGCGTATCCAGGCGGAGAAGATGAAGGGAAATGGATGCCCCATTTGACAATATTATCGACAGATAAGATATATATAATTTTCCCGTTCCGGTTCAAAACAAAAAAAAATATATCCGTTCGGTTCCAGTTTTCAGTTTGACAAAAATATAAGGCTTTTTTCGGTTTTCAATTCGGTTCTGGTTTGAAGCCTTATTATTGTGACAAATAACATAACACAATTTATTAGGAAATTTTTATGATTGGTTTAAAATTGATTACCTTCAATTTTAGGTACTCCGTGAACCTTATGAATATATAGAATAAAGAATATAAAGCTATAATATATTAAAACTAATGATGGAAACCAATAATGTCAACTTAGGAGGTTTATATATCATGTTTGTGAAGCAAGATGGCAGTTCCTTAATGAAACTATACAGCCGCGATCATCTTTATCATGCTTCTAACTAAATTAAGAATCTGGGGTCTATGTGTGGCACTAGCTGCTTTAGATTTAGTTTATAATATAAACTTGTTTCCAGTCCCGCTATTTGTTTGAAGTATCGGAGCTTTTTCATCTCCAACTCCGTCATTTGTGCGGAGTACAGGTATTAGATTGCCATGTCAATCTCATACTTCTAATTTCTTCTGGTTCTACTAATTTCTTATATTAAAACAAAGTATGTTACGAGATATTTTTTTATGTAAATATAACAAAAAAATTTCTAAAATCGAGAAATAATTTATTCCGTATATTTTTATTGTCTTCTTTAACTGAAAGATAAGTTTTTATCTATTATATTTATTATATAGTAAATTTTGCACTGCAGAAATGACTGAATATAATTTCACATTTTTCAAACTTTTGGAAAATCAAATCATAAAAAATGGAGTATGCAAAGTTATTATTAGTGAATCGGACCAAAGAAAAGATACGCCAGTTCAATTACTGAAAAAGTTTAAACAATTGGAATGTGCCTTGGTAAAGGACTTGCCAGGCTGTCTCGCAAAATGGTGTCTCTTTGTAACAGCTGCAAGTAGCGTACGTCATGAAGAAATGATCCCATTTCATCTGCCAGACTTCATTGGTAGTATTAACTGTTTACAAGAACTTATCAATGAAACCCCCCACCTTCATGTGTTATGTATAAATGCACTACAAAAAAACTATTTATATTGTGATAGATGCATTATTTTACTTCTACATTGGATTTTAGTGGATTTTAACACACCTGCATTGAGAGAATTGCAAATAGAAGAATTGGGGAAGTTAATGGAAAAAATACAACAAAGGAATAATGATAGGTTTCCCATAAAGGCTTTTAAGGTAAACTACTCATCTGGTTGTGAAGAAGAAAAAACATTTAAAATCATAAGCTCTAACCACGATACAAGGTATGCCTTTCTTGGTTGTAAATCAGACCATTTCTGTAGAATTCTACGTGATGGGTTTAAATCCTGCGAATGGAATGAGTTGAACAATAAAAAAATAAATTTAATTTGTAAATTGTCAACAATTCTTCGCTTAATGCCACAAACACCATATTTTGGAAATTCTTGTTGTTGTCATGCCCTTAAAATAGTGGCTTTATGTGAATTTGTCAATAGAGCTGAATACCTTAAAAGCTATTCTGATGAGAAATTAAATTCTGTGCAAATAACTATTGATCAACCGGATTTCGTTAGGGTTCGATATATCTTATTTTTCAGCGAACCGGCGGCACCAATATCGTTTATGGAGTCCTTTAAACAAAAGATGTTAATGGATAGTTTTGGTGTACCGAACTGGGTGAACGTACTCTTATTCACCGCAATAACTTATAGTCTTGGAAATAGTGTAAAATCTGTGTGTATGAAAGCAGTACGTTTATTAGGAAATTCATTGTTCTATGGATTGTAATATTATTTCTTATATTTTTTATGTAAATGTATTGAAAGAATTCAATAAATGTATATTGTACCTAATAAACATGGACATTTTTTTTTAATATGTTTTAGTCACATTCAAAATGGGTTACATTTGATACTTTCTGGCATTTCTATAGGGTTCTCCAAAGAATTTTGCTTGTTTGATTTAAAGTAAAATCAAAATGAATTTGATTTGATTTTCATCATATCTTTATAAAGGAGTTTTAATTTTAGTTTTGGTGAAAACAGGGTTGGTCAGAAAAGTCTATAAGACTCAGAAGGTTTCTGTAATTTCTAATTAAACAGGAATGCGATATCTACACTCTTGACTTGTTTGAAACTGTAAACTGGATCTGGTAATTCTTTTGATTTTTGTTAGATTTTGTGTTTGAAGCAATGAAGATAATAACATAATGCGACAAAGTGCAGAATGCAAAAAGTCAATTAAAAAGGATTCTAGAAATTTAGATGTGGAACATGTTACTTGTTATGGTAAACCACCGTTCTGAAAGTCAATGAAATTATGGATGAGGTGACGTCGTTACTTAGGTCGTGTGCGAGTTAGGCTAAGTTGATGCTAAACCAAATGGGAGATTTTTTGGGATTTTTTGCACTGCGCACATTTTGCCATTTATCAATACGTATCGACATATCACTACATTATCGGGACAACTTAGAATTTCCCTCATTTAGAAAGCAACTTAGCCTAACTCGCACACGACCTTAATACAAAAAGGCTTTAACTGCCTTAACTGAACCGTAGTTTACAACATAGGGACTGCAACGGTATTACATATTAAAAGCTAGTGTTGCCTTATCATATGATTGTATAGAGTTTCAACTGTCAGTAATTATTGGGGCTGGAAGAGGAAATCAAAATAGATAAAATAGATCAAAATAAAAAGTTCCATTATTGAGCCGCACTAATTTTTATAACTCTACAGGAATTATTAGCTCTTGAATGAGAAGCATAATTGGATTCTCTTACAGTTTTGACACTGCACCATCATATTATTATTATATAAACTAATCTCTAGAATACTTCATTTGTTTTCAATAAATGCTGACAATATAACCTGCTCTAGTATTGAAATCAATTCTTCGATAAGAAAATGATAATGATTAAAAAAGAATTTCAGTCTTTTATCAATGAAAATTATTAAACATACAATTGTTATCCATTAAACATCTGAACTGTAGAATCCTTGGTTAACATTTGAAGCAATTAGAGCGATCATTAGATCTTTTGTAGTGCAACTAAATGAAAAAGAGACATTATTTCTCATAAGGAAAATTCAGAATATTATTCACTGAGATATTTTTGATTTCAGATATATATTAGAGCGTGTGTATGCAACAAATTCCATCTCATAACCATAGCAAGAACAGACAGTCACAAATATTATAACTCACCTCTTATAAGGAATAATCAAAACATTTTTTATTAAACTACTTTTGATGTCAGACTAGTCTGCTATTGCAACAAAATCTTTCTCCAGACTTAAACAAAATCAGACTATGATAAAGTAAGAAGATATTTGGTCTCTGTTTAAGCAGAAACAGATTTTTGTCAAATTGGACAGACACAGCTTCTTAAGATAGCGTTAATCATGATGTCTTATCAGAAATGCCTTGTTTACTAGAAATGTAAGCCCTGTAATGGTAAAAGGAAGTGTTCATTGTATAGACGTCATCATTTGTGTTGTCAATTTTCTTATACATCAAATGCAAAGCAGAACCGATATTTAACGGTGGATCAACTTTTTCCACAAAAAAGCGAGGTTGTCTAAGGATTCGATACCACCATTTCTAGCTTGACATGATATGTAGTGAAGCACTATAATTAAATTACATGTTCTCATACAATATTTTTATGAAATATTTAAATTCTATCCGAAAGCCAACTTGAACTTCTCACAGATGAAACGTTTATAACAGTATACCTATATAGTTTCGAATACATCATTACAAATAATATTATTTAATTTTATTTCTGTAGATTTTGTTTTTGTTTTTGTTTTTATTTTTGGCAGTAAGATGCAACAAATTTTAATATATCTACTTTACGAAATTTTATTTTATTCATTTAAATTTTATGGACATGTGAGAATATGCGTGTGTAATTGAGTAATTTTATTGCATTTGAAAAAATCAAACCGAATCTTTAAATCGAACGGACAACTATGTATAGTATATTTCAGCTTCAGTTACCGAGAAAATGACCAGGGACCCTTCCACCACTCCGTGTATTAGAACGATAAAAACTTAAGCACAATACAGGCAAAACAAAAAAAAATTGAGAAAAAAAAACAAAAATGTGATTTAATTTATTATTACATCAGTTAAAGGAGTCAACGAGGGCGATTTACGGAATCGTATTTCCTTCACGCCAACAACATTATTGCATGTCCAGTACAACAACAGCAACAGCAACAACAGGAATGGCAGCAATGTTAGCAATGGCAGCAACAGTAAATTGAGAGCCATTTATTCTATTGGTCATTACGGAAATTATGTTGCGCGCCAAGAAAATCAACAAAAAATGAAGAAAAAAAAATATTCATACAAAAACATAATAAAATTCAAGCCATCAATAAATGGGTACAAAGATACATTGCAAACGGAAGTGCCAAATCGCCTTAGGACGGTCAATTGGTGGGACAGACAAACGCTGACAACAAGACACATACGCGGCATGTTGAAGTTACACGGTGAATCTACATGATGTGCATAACGTCGTAAAAAACAGAACGTTGCCCATCAATAAAATACAACAACACAAAAAGAGAAGAGCCAAAGATACTAGATGCAGATAACTATAAAATATCTCCGAAGGGTATGCTTAACAAAAAATGAAATAATATAAAAAACTGAAACTGAAATGCGAAAATCTATAAGATTTTTCTAATCTACTTATCGTTCGGTCAGATTGTCTCAGCAATAGAAAAGCCCAAAGCCCAAAGCCCAAAGCCCAAAGCGGCACATCTTTAACTTAAGTCACTTCCTCTTCCGTATTTTTAAATTGTATTTTGTATGGTTATGTTTCCGTGTGCACGTTCCTTCTCCGTATCAAGGACATACGTGCGTGGGATGTGTGTGTCGACGTTACAACAACAAATTGCACTGACGTATCGTTGATACAAATTGCAAGTGAATTGCTTTACTTAACACCGAAATGACTGGAATATGGAATTTCCGAGGTTGAATGGACAATGCTTGAATGGCTGTCTAAATTATGTGATCAAATTTACTGGTTACGGACCCTTTGTTGTTATTGTTTTGGTTTTTCTTACTGAATCCCATATAATTCTTTCTCTTTATCTTGTTTGTCGTTAGTGCCAGTGAGTAATACTCGTAAATGTTATGGACTTCCTTCAACATAAACGTGTAGCATTTTAAGTAAAGAAATTCAAACGTAAAGTTAATTTTACTTTCATTTTAATAAAACAATTAAATTGTATGTATTTTAATGAAGGATACTGTTATTACTTTAAATTAAAGTATTAGTAATATAAGATGGATAAAATAATATCCAGAAATCATAAAAGAATAAAGATTTGGCTACCCTATCTTGTTGTATTCGATTTAGGAACATATCATTCAATATGTTCACATTCACACTAATTAAGTTCAATTGATGACTCATAATCAAATAACTTTAAGGTAATATAATTTCCTTCAAGAGTGACGTGATGTAGATGACTTCCAAATAAAACAACTACTAGGCATTATAATTTCCTTCAATAGTGACATAATATATTTATTCCAATACTATTCTAGCATATCAATTTGAGCCTTCCGAATCACATACTAAACTGAGGTTTAGCATCACGGTATAAGTTTTCGGAAACGGTTAGTTCTGTATTCTCACGAATATGTGCGGATTAATTTTAGTAATTTATAGGCGCCCAATATTTGTACTTCTAGAAAAATATGCTCTAGCCACAATCTAGTTACATTAACATGATCATTTTGTTACAGAAGGCAACATGATGTGTTATGAGATCTGAGATTTAGTTAAAATCTGGTTAAATCAACTAAATTATTTTTCTGAATGCATTAAATTAGGTTTGAGTTCAAATACATTTCCATGAAATATTCTTTTGAGAGTTTTTGAGAGTTGTGACTCCATCAACATTCACAGATATCATCGGTAATACCCAGACACAGTGTAGGCCTCAGTATAGACTGAGAAAGATGTTGATGCTCGTATCAACAAAGCGAACGCTGCATTTGGTGAACTTAACAATAACATATGTTATGTGGCGACCCAGTAAACTCAGGAGGCAGACCAAACTGCGAATCTTCAACACAAATGTAAAATCTATCTTGTACTACGGCTTTGAAACATTTAAATTGAAGGAATATATAAAAAATACAAGTATTTAATATATATAAGAACTCCACCGGTAATACGCTTACTCACTTAAGCTATATTAATACAGAGAAATAAAGAGAAAGATGCAAGTGTTTGTTAATGTCTACGTAGAATTCTCTGGTGACCAGATCGTATATCAAATGAACGCCTGCTGAATCGAATGAAAAACAGCACAAACTGAGATAGAAATAAGAAAGTGGAAGTGGATATACCATACACTTAGACAACCGAGAAATCATAAAGCGAATCAAGCTTTGACATGGAATCTACAGCTTATAAAATTTCTTAATTTTTACTTTTCAATTATTATTATGATTAATATTCATGTTCATTATTATGATAATAATATTTATATTACATAATATTTATTTTATTATATTTTAATAAAATATATATTATTTTATTATAATATTTATATTATTAGTTATATTATTAGTTGCAATTCATGTATGCAGATTAAAAAATACACCGAAACATTTTTGAGGTACTGTTTAAGTTTATCCAGATACAAACTTGAGATTGTTATGTTATTCTTTAACTTAAATGTTTTTTATCGTTGTTTAAGTTTATCCAGATCCAAACTGAAGCACATATAAGTGCTGTTCTTCAATTTA